ACCTCAGCCTCCCAAAGGCGCGGGATTACAGGCTGAGCCACCGAGCCCGGCTTATCTTTATCTTATACAAATATCTTATGGATAGCTATAAAGATTGAGTAGAATTTCCCAGGAATGTTCAAGATTTAAGATTTCTCATTATCTGACATCTCACTTGTGGTATTCACAGTGATTTACTGCACATCCCTTGAAATCTAAACATCTCCGAGCTTCAGAGGTTTTAGTCAGTGTAGGGGATATGATTCTAGTCTTTGACCTGGTGATCAACTTAGACATGAGTTTTTTTGTATGTGAATTCTAGGATTCTGTAAGTTTCTGCCTGTATTGGGAACAGTCTGTGGAGAATATGGAGCTCTGTACTGTTACAATGAGTTATTTATCCTTTCTTTTAGCATTTAAGAGTTAGTAGTTTGTGGTGTTATGTAGCATAAACAGAAACTTGTTGGAGTTGACTTAGAAATTTAATGTATTAGAATTATTACCCAAATGTTTTAGTTCCACAAATCAAAATGACATCTAGAAATTGAAATTATCTTTAACTTATGACAATGATGACATATTTTGTTCCCTCACACATGATTTTTTTTTTTTTTTGGAGAGAGGCAAAGTAGGTGTCCAGCTTAGCCAGAATGGTTTATATAAAGTTATGTCTTGAAGTTGATGATAAAAGTCAAAGTTTAAGGAAATTTATAGTAGATGGATCTATAGTGTAGGATCAACAGAAGAATCATGTTGATGTTTTGTTTCCCTGAACCTAACTGTGCTGCATTCTACTTTTATGCAAGCCTTCAGAATGCTCCAGATGACAGCCTAGGTCTTAAGAGGAACCTTCCTATCAGGTGTGAGACAAGGAAGAAAGAAACAGGGGCTGAAGCCATATGACCCCACCATTGGCATGGAATGAGGACCTCCCTTATTTGTGTTTTCTGACTCAAGGGGTAGACAAGCATATCTTTTTTAGATCTATGAGATTAGGGAGAATAAAACCTCCTGTGGCCATTAGGATCTGTTAACTAAATATATTAGTCAAAGTAAACTAAACTGTCAAGGTAGAGTAACCTAAGTTCTTTCGATGTTTTAATGCTATCCTCTTCAAACCCTGGGCACCACAATGTAGTATAAGGGGAAGAAAGAGCACAGTCGATTATGCAGGAGGTCTTATGAGGGATCTGGAAGTAGTAAATAACATTTCTGTTCACATCCTTTAGAACTCAATTGCATGGTCTCAACTTAACTGCAATGCAGGCTGGGAAATGTAGTCCTCTAGTGTGCTCAGGAAGAAAAGAAACTAAGTTCGGCAAACACATAATATTGCCTGTGCTGCAAAACACTTGAAAAATACTTAAGTATTCCATTGGTATCTTTTACCGACATAGGCAGTATTGTCATTGACTAGATATATGACTAAACAATATGAATGTGAAAATAGCTAATGGGTTAAAATCTCAATGAGTTGGAAAGTCAAACAGGCAAAAGGCATGATGCTTTTAAAATTTCAAACAAGATCAAAAATAACCTCATAAGTAGATTTTGTCATAAATTCCTTTTCTTACTGTAAAATTTCCTAAAATGTAATGCTTGAAAAATAGTTATCTTCACTAAAGAAAGGCTATGCTGTCAAGTTATTCTAGCATGAAAGAAGTCTGAAAGGAGTTGAAGAATCTCAATGTTTATCTAGACATTTGTCTTGTTTCTTTACAAAGGATCTCAGACAGAAATGATGCTGCTAAAACATATAAGGCCAATACCTTGGATAAACGACTAACCAATAGGTAACAGTATCTACTAACTTTGGGAAAGGCTCAAGTATAACATTTTTCTGAGTGTTGCTTATTTACTTACATTCTTCACTCCTACTTAATATCTTTCTGCATATTCTTATTCTCTGTATTTTTTAACACAAAAATTCCAAAGTAAAAACCTTTATTCCTGCGCATGGCCAGAATAAAATCTTGTCTGGCTTAAAAATCAAGAAGGCTTATTGCTTCAGGTCATTATTCTTACCACATTAATATTTCTATTTAAGGTGTCTTGTTGACAAAATTATGAAATACACTAAAATAAAAATTTTACATTCTTATTATTAAAAAAGATTACTAAACCCAACAAATAAAAACATGGGGCTTAAGAGATACTGAATTTTCCAAAGAAAAACTATTTTTCTTGAAACCTGGTCCAAGAGATTTTTTAAAATTATAAAATCATCATATTAATTTTTTTCAAACACTAATGGTTTCTTTTTCTTTCTTTCAAATAATATCTAACTCTTAATACTTGAACAATTGCAATAGATGCAAGTATTCATTCTCTGTTGCTCCTCAAACTTTGCCTGTTTTTTCCTCTCTCTTTCCAGGAGCATGTCCACATTTAGATCACCAGAAGCAACAAAGTCGTATGTACTTTTCTAATTGTGTATTTCTTTGTATGTGTTCAAGGAAAACCAGAGTATACCACCCTCAGGCCACAGTTATATTGAAACACAGCTATATTCCTACTGCTTTGGTAGAGTTGAGTTGTGGAGGGAAGATACTGAAATAGTCTGCAAATGTTCAAATATTTACTATCTGAATTGTGCAGGAAAAATTTGATAACCATTGCTCTAACCAAACACAAAGCTTAGGTCATCATTTTTTCTGCTTCTTTTAAAATCTGAACTTTTTTAAGTGGGCACAGTGGCTCACATCTGTAATCCCAGCACTTTGAGAGGCAGAGGCAAGAGGATTGCCTGAGCTCAGGGATTCGAGACCAGCCCGGGCAACTTGGCAAGACCTCGTCTCTACAATAAATCAAAAAATTAGCAAGGCATAGTGGTGTGTGCTTGTAGTTCCAGCTACTTGAAAGGCTGAGGTGGAAGGATTGCCTGAGCCCAGCAGATCAAGGCTGCAGTAGCTGTGAGTGTGCCATCCTGGGTGATAAAGTAAGACTCTGACTTGAAAAATAAAATTAAAATCTAGACTTTGATTTTTTTCCAGAGCTTTTTTCTTTTTCTCCCCTCCCCCACTCCCATAACAATTAGCAATCCATTTAGACAAAATACATTTTTCCTGGAATTTAGTACTGGTGGTTAGTTATAAGTAACCCAAATCAGATACATTTTTAAACTTAATTAGTGTTTTAATTTTTTTTAATGTGTAAAATAATTCTCACACTGGACCATCTCTCTCAGTGCTTGGAACAGGGCTGGATCACTTTCATTTTTTTAGAATCTGCATGTATCAGTAAATCCTAAAAGCAGACTCAAAATGGTATGGTTTTAAAGTTTTTCTTAAACTAATCTTTTAATGCAAAAAAAAGAAATGTAATTCTGCTAGTCATAATATAATCACAGGATTAAAAAACATGAATCCCTTGCATACACCAAAATGGATTGGTCTGAATTTCAGACAATGTCATTTTATGAATGACTTCTTCATTCAGTTCCTTCCATTTTAGCTAGTTATATGAGACCTAACAATTAATAAATTGGTAAACTAAGGAGGAATTTTTGTTGCTGTTGTTTTTCCATCCTAAGATGAAACATTTTGTGATAAATAGAGAGCAGACAGGAATATGAGTAGATTATAAGACCCTCAAAAGGGAAGTAGAATGAAAAAGTTTGAGGAATGTGGTGATTTGTGTTCTTGTCATTAAGCAGGCAACCTGGCGGGTTATTGAGTACAAACTCCTTCAACTCCACCGTGTCCACCTCTGCTACTACTCCTGTAAAGAAAAAGAGGTATGAGGGGCTCTTTATATCTTCCTCTTGCTGATATCCTATAAAGGACTGTTCTTTACACATTTCTGAACCAAATCATTCATACACCAAACGCATCCCAGGCAGCATTCACAAGCTTCCTCCTCTCCTTCCTGGGATCCAGCACCTACATTTTGCTATTCCCATACTTCAGTTCTTTTCAATCAGTTCTTTTAAAATCTCCTTTTCAAACACATGGTCCTCTCTCCAGTTCCTTTAGGGTCCTGGATTTCCAGGTAATGCTTTTAACAACAGAGCTTAGATGTTAAATGGCAGGCTACTTTGGGTAAAATATTTTATAGAGTCCTGCCATTTCTGTCACCCTGAAGAATAATGAATGCCACATGCTGCCATGCTCCTGAAACCCACCTGCATCCCTAGATTGAACCGACCCTGCTTCCAAGGACAGAGTCAAAAGCCCCCTCTGGAAACATCCATCTGTGTTTGAGTGATTATAGACTCCTCCTCTCACCTCCCCTGTACGGTCTCCCACATTCTGCTTGTGCTGAGTCCTTGTGTCTTGTAGACACAGAGAGTAGTTGGACCCAGGTGGTCAAATGTTCTTCATGAAACAGAGCATGCTGGTGCAAGAGATTTTTGCATGTGAAAGAGAAGAGAGTGTTGGTGATTATGATGCAAATAGAAAACAAGCATTCATAAGCATCAGCACTTTTAAATTTTTTTATATTCTTTGCCTGCATTTAGATCCATGCCTGGTATAGGGTAGGTGCTCAAAATGTTTGTTGATGGACTGGCTAACTTTGCATGGTGCTATTGTAGTCCTTCTCCTGGAGAAAAATGACCTATTCTATTTTTCCTATAGTCAAGGTTCTGGTTGTATCTGCAGAATCTCAGAAAATGTTGTTCACCTTCCCCTTGAGCTCAAATTTCACATCCCTTTGACCCCTTGTCTTTTAAAAACAGATTCCTAAGGTTGCAAGAGAAATTAAAGTGAGTGAATTCAATCTTCTACCTAGTATAATAATCTTTTCTGTGTCAGATTAGGCTTAATTCAGGACTACTAAAGCCAGCGATAAGTCTCTCACTATATTGTGGCACACCTGTGGCTTACTCTCTGGGGTAGCCTCTATTACTAACGTTGAGCTAGAATCTGTCTTGATTGACTCCCAACTGGGCTAAGGTCAATCTTGTGGTGCCTCAGAGAATAGATCTACTTCAAGAATTCAAAGTTTGTTCTTCTGTCCTTCTTATCCCAGGCTTCCCTTCTCTAGTTTTATTAATCTCCTCTGAACATCTTTGTTTTGGTTCATATCTTAGTCTTTTTGACAGAGCCCTTACCTATTGCTACTAAGTAAAAATGTCCTAATGATGTGAGGATATCTTTTTAATTGAGGTTAAAATTGAGGTTAGTGTTGCTGTGGTGTTCACTTATATTTTCAATATCCTTACTTGTCAGAGTTTTCATTTAACAGTTTTAAACCTATATATATATATGCGTAAGATTGTTATTATCTCTGTTATGAAACAATTCAGATATGCATAAAAATACATGAACATGATAAATATTCATGAACCTATTATGTATTTTCCAGATTTGCTTTTTGATTTCTTTTGAAAGAAATGTCCACTTTATTTAGTGCCAAAGTAAATGAGAAGTTTACTTGGAAAAGCAGGCAACCTAGAATATAGAATAGTTACAACCCATTTCATTTATAAAATAGTGTTCATTTTATTTCCAAGGCATTGTATAACCTCATTGTCCTTTTAACTGTCAAATTTTTTTCAGTCGTGTGAATGGGATCAGCCTTTCAAACATCATGTTTATTCCTGTATCATTTCTTCACAGACAATCCTGGTTCCCACCACCCCCTCCAGGTTATAAGACCTCCCCAAGCAGAGAAACCAGCAGAAGGTAAGGGGAAAATATCAACTGGAATTGCTATGCCACTAAGATGAAGAATGTGTCAGACATTGACAATGTATAATTGTGGATGCTTTGGGATACATTGGAGGCAATCTTGTGAACTCTCAGCTCTGAACAAGACAGGGCTCAAGGGCATGAGGTCAAAGTTACAAGTGCCCCTGATATGACACCTGACAACCTATGAACAATAAGTAGTTGGTTGTATTAGTTTGTTAGGGTTGTTATAATATAACAAGTATCACAAAGTGAGTGGCTTAAACAGGATACATTTATTGACATAGTTCTGGAGGCTAAAATTTTAAGATTCAGATGTCAGCAGGGTTGGTCCCTTCTGAGGGCTATGAGACAGAGAGTCTGATCCATGCTTCCCCCTAACTTCTGGTGGTTTCCTGGCAATCACTGACATCACCTAGTTTATATAAGCATCATCCCGATCTCTGCTTTCATCTTCATGTAGCCTCTTCCTTGTGCACATGTTTGAGTCCAAATTTCCATTTCTTATAAAGCCATCAATCATATTGGATTAGGATCCATCCTGCTTTAGTATGACCTCATCCTAAGTGAACTAATTACATCTGCAATGACCCTATTTCCAAGTGAGGTCCCATTCTCAGGAATTGCAAGTAAGGTTAGAACTTCAACATATGAATTTGGGGAGGGAGCACAAGTTAACCCTTAACAAGGTCAGAAGGAGAGAACAGAGTCAAGCACCAGGCAGGGACTTCCATGTGGGTTTCTGCTGCCTAGATGCTTCTAGGCTGGGTGGAACCCAGAGGATTGGATGGGGGATGTATGTGGCAAATTCCTTGTAAACATTAGGTGACAAATGAGTGCTTTCTACTTTTATTTTTTTAAAACAATAGTTAATACTAAATTATAGATCATGTGGTGGACATTTTGTTCTACAATTTCCATGCTAGGAATGCAAACAATAGCAATAAATATTTAATAAACACTATTGTGTGTCAGATAGTCTAGGATCTTGAGATGTATCAGTGAACAAAACATGGAGCCTACACAGTAGCCTTTATTTATTTATTTATTTTTATAATCAATATTTTTTATTATGATATTGTGGGGTACAGTTAAGGGTTAGGTATACAAATATAGCAGCGAGACCTCATCTCTACAATAAACCAAAAAATCAGCTGGTTGTGGTAGCGCATGCCTGTAATTCCGGCTACTTGGAAGGCTGAGGCAGAAGGATTGCCGGAGCCCAGCGGCCACTACACTCCAGTCCGGGTGACAAAGTGAGACTCCAACTCAAAAAAAACCCAAAAACAAAACAAAACAAAAAATACATTTCGTTCAGGCACCCTTGTTGATAAGAGGTGTTTCCCTGTCCCCAGGCAGATATTTACTACTGTTAATCCCATCTCCCTCCACCTCCCATAGTTTCCCACTACTGTCAGTCATTTTCTTACAGTATTACATTGGATGTTCAAGGTCCAATATATGAATGAGAATATGTGATACTCGGATCGTTGTTTCTGTGAGAGGTCACTCAGTATTATAGACTCTAGTTCCATACAGGTTGCTATGAAATTCATGATTTTGTTCTTTTTCTATGGCTGCAAAGTATTCCATTGTGTATATGTGCCACATTTTTTTAAACCAGTCCTCTTTTGATGGACAGCATGGTTGCTTCCAGGTTCTTGCTATTGTGAACAATGCTGCGATAAATATACGTGTGCAGTTATCTTTTTTATAGAGTGATTTGAGTTCTTCAGGATATATTCCCAGTAGGGGGATTGTGAGGTCATATGGGAGGTTGATATTTAGAGCTTTTAGGAATCACCACACTGCTTTCCACAGAGGTTGTACTAGTTTACACTCCCACCAACAATATAGAAGTGTTCCCTTTTTGCCACACCCTCTCCAGCAACTGTTATTTTTCGAGTTATTGATAATTGCCATTCTGACTGGAGTTAGGTGGTATTTCAGTGTGGTTTTGATTTGCATCTCGCTGATGATTAGTGAGGTTGAACATTTCTTTATGTGTCTGTTGGCTGCTCGGATGTCTTCCTTTGAGAAGTGTCTGTTCATATCTTTGCCCATTTTATAATGAAGTTGTTTGTTTTTTTTCTTTTCAGCACATTTGAGTTCCTTGTAGATCCAAGACGTTCAGCTTTTGTCAGACCTGGGTTGGCAAATACTTTTTCCCAGTCTGTAGGCTGTCTCCCTGCTCTTTTGATGGTTTCTTTGGCTTTGCAGAAGCTTGTCAGTTTAATGAGGTCCCACTTGTCTATCTTATCTCTTATGGCCTGTGGGTTTTGCGTTTTGTTCAGGAATTGGATGCAGTTCCAATTTCCATGAGGGTATGTCGTTCATTTCCTAAGCTTCTTATGGTTTGAGGTTTTACATTTAGGTCTCATCCATTTGGAGTTAATTTTTGTGTATGGGGATAGATAGGGGTCCTGTTTCAATCTTCTGCATGTGGTCAGCCAGTTTTCCCAGCACCATTTACTGAACAGGTTCTCCTCTCCCCAGTGGTAGGTGGTGGAGGATTTGTCAAAGATGAGTTGGCTGAGAAATTGAGGTTTTGCTTCTTGAATCTCAATTCTATTCCATTGATCTATATGCCTGTTCCTATATCAATACCAAGCTGTTTTGATGATTGTGGCTTTATAGTAAAGTTTGAAGTCTGGTAATGTGATACCATCTGCTTTGTTTTTTTTTTTTTTTTTTTTGCTGAAGATTGTTCTGGCTATTCTTGGACGTTTGTGTTTCCATATGAATTCCTGTGTTGTTTTTTCTAGGTCTGAGAAGAATGTTGCTGGTAATTTGATGGTATTGCATTAAATCTGTAGATTGCCTTAGCTAAGATGGACATCTTCACAATGTTGATTCTTCCAATCCATGAGCATGGGATATTTTTCCACTTGTTTGTATCATCTTTGATTTCTTTCAGCAGTGTTTTGTAGTTTTCATTGTAAAGGTCTTTCATGTCTCTGGTTAGGAAGATGCCAAGGTATTTCATTTTTTTGTGGCTATTGTGTATGGAAGTGTGGTTTTTATTTGGGTTTCTGTTTGTTTATTATTGGTGTAAAGAAATGCAATTGTCTTTTGCACATTTATTTTGTAGCCTAAGATTTTGCCAAAGTCCTTTGTCAGTGTAAGGAGGTTTTTGACAGATTCTCTTGGGTTTACAAGGTACACAATCATATTGTCTGCAAAGAAAGATAACTTGACTTCCTCTTTTCCTATTTGGATACTGCTGATTGCCTTCTCTTCTCTGATTGCTTGAGCTAGGACTTCCAATACTATGTTGAACAGGAGGGGTGAGAGTGGGCATCCTTGTCTTGTTCCAGTTTTCAGGGGAAATGGTTCCGATTTTTGTCTATTTAGGAGTATGCTGGCTGTGGGTTTCTCATAGATGGCATTTCCTATTTTGAGGTATGTTCCCTGCATGCCTAGATGTTCGAGGGTTTTTATCAAGAAGGGGTGCTGGATTTTATCAAAAGCTTTTTCTGCATCTAATGATATAATCATGTGGTTTTTGTTTTGACATCTGTTGATGTATTTAATTACATTTATGGTTTTATGAATGTTGAACC